ATCCTTTTTTATAAATTAATAAATAATATTTAAAGAATTAATTATAATTTTATTTTTCGTCTACGTGTAATTTACTTGATCATTTCTAAAAAAAAAAAGGTATGTTATTGACATTTTGTCCCTTTTCCGCGATACCGATTATTTTGACAGCTGTCAAACTGTCGAGACAGTTTGACAGCTGTCAAAATAAAATTAAATAATTAATTACTTCTAAACAAATATGTTATTGATATTTTGTCCCTTTTCTGCGATGCTAATTGACTGTCTCGATAGTTTGACAGCTGTCAAAATAAAATTAAATAATTAAATTATATAGATAGCGCAAAGCGCGCACTTGTGTTATCTAGTAAATTAAAAATTGGAAAATTTGAAGGTTAATTATCGGTATTTGCAATTAAAAATTTGAAGATATCCTTATATAAAATAATCTTTTGGTGTGATTAGAAGAAATTTATATTCCAAATTTATTTTTATGATGAAATGATGTGAATAGTGATTTGTTAAGTTTCTAGAACACCCTGTATATTGTGCATTGCACTATGATTAACTTCGCGATGCGATTTTTCGACGGAGTTTCCGATAACAATTTATAATTTCTCCTCGGCATGTTGATTAACCCTTTGAGGCGGCTTTTTGCGCTGATGCACGCTCTATGTGAAGTCTTTAAATTCCTTCACAGCCGCATTTCATCGAATGCTATTTCGACATGACGTGCATAACCTTGTTCAACGCTGTTTTAAAACAATTTCTTTTACCACATATTAAATATTTTTGTAAACACGTTCTTCAAGAATGAAGAATAATGAAGATTTCAATTTGAAACTATATGAAACTTTGTTATCCTCATAAATAATTGACGACACTATACAATATGTAAACATTATTTGCATTTTTTATAGTCCTGATATAGATTTTTTAAATCTAAATTTTAAAAATGTATAGTTTTTTAAATATATTATTTTTATGATATAATATATAGAGAAAGAGACTTATCACAATTGTTTGCAAAGCATTTTCTAGAGGTTTTGGATAAAATATTAATAAATCTATTTTAAATCTCTTTAAAATAAATATATATGGGGATTTTATTAATATAAAAAAATTTCTTAAAATTATACCTTCTATTTTATCTTCGTCATTATAGACCGGCAGTTATTATGGGCCGCGTTCGAATAAATATAGATATCGGCAAATATAAATCCTCGAGGATGGCATCCAATCGGGATAACGACCTCGAGTGCGGCATTACGGCTACGAAACTCGTCACTATTATCTTAATTATATCGAGCCGACCTCGGCATCGGTTTCTGATTCTTTTCGAACACGGTCGTCCATCTCATACTGCAACCTATTCTCTCGATTATCTCAATTGCATATCACCTTTACTTCTCGCGTGCAACGTGCCTGCATTTTTTCTCTTTCTCTCTTTCCGCACGATACTGTAACCGAGAATCGAAGACTAATGATGAGATAACTTCCATTTTTTTATATTCGAGAGAAAGAGAGAGAGAGAAATATATTATGCGGTTGAATCTCTAAAGAGATATTTAATTATGTATGTTTGATATAAGAGATTTAAAATGATAATTAACTTTCTCTAACTATAGAATAACTTAACGAGTGACATAAAAAGAAAAATTGGTTTGTATCGATATTTTGAGTATTTTGAAAATAATATTTTTATTATATATTAGAAATACGGCCAACAGATTAATTAATAAATGAGCAAATTTTATTAACAAAAATTAAAATTATATGACAAATTAATATTAGCAATTATATTAAATCCGCAAATGTTATTAACTATTTAGAGACAAAAGTAATCTGCAAAATATGATTGATTAAGCTGTAAATTTCTTCGAACTCGAAAAGAAAATTTCAATGATTAGCATTTCCTTTCTATCGTGATTCTGCTGAAGAATTTCAGCGGAGCAGCCATAGTTATAACCCTTCATAAAGAGAGCCGCGGTTTCTTTATTATCGCGTTCTACGCACCTGCCTTCGAGAAGGTAATCCGTATTTTTTCCGACGAAAGACGCCGTAATAATCGGTAGAAGACGTTATTCTCTCGTGGAGAACGAAACGATTGTGGGCACTTTTCAGGTGAAGCTATCTCTCGTCAGTGACGTTGATAATACTGTGGCTGACCGAGCTGCTCTTTCATTGGTCTGTTTCGTACCAATGCACCTGTTCCGATCATCTCGCGTTCTTCTACCTGAATGATTGAACCTCCTCATACGTCGTGAATTTGCTATAATTTTCCCCTTTTGCGTGTTTATTAGCCTCGAAACATCACACTAAGAACACTCTGACGAATCTCGACCTTTACAACACGCGGCTAATCTTTCATTTTTCTTTCGTATTTCTTAAGTAGTGTTCAATGTAATAAAAAATGTTTTCAAAAAAATTGATTGAAAATGTCACATGGAAAAAAGAAATTTAAATAAAATGAGATTCTCTAGATCTGAGATTAGCTTTTGAAATTTGAAGATATTTTTAAGTTTTATCTTTTAGATAAGCTTTAAAATTTTAGACTTTAAAGCTCACCTCATCTATCTTCATTAATGGCCATTATTGTCATAGAATTAAATATTTAAATCGTAGTAGTAAAACGCGGAGAAATAATTGTGAGAAAGTTAGCGCGACCGGCTCAAATTGTGTTCTATATGGATTACTATAATTGACTATAACAACCGTTATATTACCGCGATTAGGCGAGTTAATCTACCACTTTGAACCTACGCCTATAACAACATTACACGTCGATATTGGCGCGATCATGCGATTGTCTCTCAGGGATTCATCGTGGAAAATTTGTAGCTGCATCAGTTGACACAACACAAATACAAACACAAAGTATTTTTATCATTTCCATGATATTTACATAGATCGTTCGAATAAGAACAAAACGCAAAGATTGTAACAAAGTTAAAATAAATAACCTATAAATAGAAATATATAACACGATCGTAGAAAATCAGAACGTAAACAGTGTAAAATGCAGAGTCTTTTCAACGATTAGATATCAAATAACGAAAAATATAATTGCATAGACATGAAAATAGAAAGATATATGAAGCATCGAGTGGAAGATTTTACAGAAATTAGTTTATAATTATTTGAAAATATTATAAGTCAGTTTTGCGATAGCAAAAATGTGATTAAATGCAATATTTTACGACCTTATATAAAGATCTGTTACGTGTTTGTATAAAGTCTAATTAAAAAAATAAAGTCTTCAAATCGTTCAAATAAGAACAAAATCCAAAGATTGTAACAAAGTTAAAATAAATAACCTATAAATAGAAATATATAACACGATCGTAGAAAATTAGAACGTAAACAGTGTAAAATGCAGTCTTTTCAACGATTAGATATCAAATAAAATAAAATAAAATAAAACGAAAAATATAATTAGATAAGAAATATATGTCGGCTCTCAATATTAAAATAATAATAATATATGAATTTTAAATCGGTCAATAGAGCCGATTTAAAATTCATATATATTTATTATTATTAATATTGAGCCCAAGCGCGAAAAATATAATTGTATAGACATGAAAATAAAAAGATATACATGACGTATCGAGTGGAAGATTTTGCAGAAATTAGCTTATAATTATTTGAAAATATTACGCGATAGCAAAAATTTGATTAAATGCAATTTTACGACCTTATATAAAGATCTGTTACGTGTTTGTATAAAGTCCAAATAAAAGAAATAAAGTCTTGTAATCTTTAAAAAACCATTTGCGAGAAGTTCGTAGTTCCATTTCGATATTACCTCCGAGAAAAAAATTGATTTTAATTTTGCTGAGTGAATCTACTTCTAAAATATTATAATGTACCTGTATATATTGCGCGTAAATAACTGTACTCTAGCCAACGTGCATAAATTAAGCGCTTAAATTAACACTGTATTGCGGGACGTTGCGCGACTGCGTTGCGTGTGAATTTAAATGAGGCTGCTCGGTGGAAATCCGATTTTGCACGTGTACCAACATATTTTCATTTATCTATTCGCAGCAGAATCTAGAGAAATTAAACTACATATTGAATTAACCGAGTAAACTGAAAAAGATTAAATTATATGGTATAAATAAATTTTTCTCGAGACTCAAAGCGAGAGATGTTGTATTTTTTAGGAATTAATTACCTAATTCTATTTATTAACAGATATACTTTTTGCATATTTATTGGAAAATTTGAATTCTCATTGCAAAACTTTGTATGTGCATAAAATTTATAGGATGTTGGTATTTATGGAATATTAATTGAATCGACGTTTGTTTGCGATGCATTTTGTATGCGAGCATCTAAGATTTACCTGTTGCCTGCAACACGCGATACTTAACTATTCTGTAAACACTTATTCATGTTTATGTAATTATTTATGCAACTCGGATCAATTTACAACGTGCATTAAATACAGGTAGACGTAAACAGGACACAATTTGAATTATTAAGTTATTCTCGATTTTTCTCCCTGAGAAATTATCGCTGTATGATCGCCTACCTAATTCTATAAGAGAGAGAGAGAGAGAGAGAATCGTCTATCTTCTAGAAAATATTATCTTCTATCTTTTCTAGAATACTATACTTTTTAAGGGGGGATGAACTGATTCATTTTTTGGCTCTTTGTTACTCTATGATAAAACTATTACGATAAATCTATCTTGGAATGAAAATCTTTAGCCGCTAAAAATATTCCGATCGCTTTGAGGATTAGAATCGAATAAAAATATGTTTTAAATTTTATATAATTAAAATAAATTTGTAATATTAAAAAAAGTAAAATTTAATTGTAATGCAGAGATTGAAATGTTAATTTTTATTGAAAACAATTTGTATTGATTTAAACAATAATTTAGAGAGTCGAGCAAGCTCTCCTGCTTTCCAGCGCACGATCGGAATTTTTTTAAATGGCAACGGGGAGAATACAGGGGGTGTTTCAAAAGTGTCACGTTCGATGATCGAGTTTGTGCTGGTGGACTCACCAAATTGTCCGGGTGCAGGTGATGGCCGTAATCCCTGGAATTACCTCGCGATCCGCCCGGAGAACTGTGTCTGCGACCTCGTCCGTTTTCGATCTCGTCATCGTAATCCTGGAAAAAAAGGACAACCGTGTTTCTCTTATATCGTCTGATCCCGAGAAAGCTTTTTTTTTCTTTCTACAAACATCGGCAACATAACTTTTCGCCGGGGACAAAAAAATCGCGATTTCCGACTTTCTAGGCGTATCCCTTCGAACCCTTTCACCTATGCGGTGTTCCTATAGTAATTCTATAATGAAGCATTTATATTTTTATAAAAATTTATTTAATACTAAAATCATACTATATATATTAATACTACATATATATATATATATATATATATATATATATATACACATATAAATATAATATATACATATAATATATACATATAATATATTAATATATATATTATATGTATATATTATATATATATTATATATATATATATTTATATATATATATCTATATATATATACAGATATAATAGATGATATCTCTCTATAAGATATACATATAGAATATATAATATACAGATATATATATAGAAATATATATCTACATAATATATACTATATAATATATTAATATAATATATTAATATATCTATATATATATATATCTCTCTATATATATCTATTGATACTAATATTAATACTAAAATTTCTTTAATATTAATACTAAAAAAATAAATTTAATATTAATACTAAAATTTGTTTGCGTAATTTTGGTTGAATGTGGTCGCTCCCTTGAATTACTATTAAGATGACCGTAACGCGATGGTTCGTAAAGAATACACCCGCAGTACCTGATTGTCGCACTCGTCATCGTTGGAGAGGGCGAGGTCGGAGGTCGTCACTTGGTGCTGCTGCGCCCTCCTGCAGCCCACTCTGCAATTGGCAAAATTTTCATTTCAGAACCGCCCGCCCCGCGACCGCACGTATCAATCGCGCGCCTCATCTATTATCGCTTATCGGTGTGTCATCGGGACGATTCCTCAGACGAAGATTAATCGCCCCGATCGGAAACAAAGGGGAGGTGATCGAATGGAAGTTTGCGAAATTTTGGAACTTGATTTGCGATTTGCCGACAGCCGACAGCCAATTCCGAAAGTCACTTCGAATTTTTCACTCAAGGAGATGTTCGCAAAGCGAACTTGATAGTCCTAAATAGTTCCATCACGAGCCAACCAACCCTTCGTCTCGAGTATTATATATTCTATAACGGAAGCAACACTTTGGCAGATGACAAGTCGGAATAAGCGTTCCATTTTCGGAGCACCGAACATAATTCACTATTTACTCCAGTTGCTTAATTTTTCTTAGAAATATATATTTTAATATATTTTGATATATTGAGAGATTTTCAGTCAAATATATCTAAAGTTACGGAAATTAAGCTGCGTAACCAGATGATTTGAGAAGCGAGACAACTTTGGATGAATGCTCGAAGATCAGTCGAGGATTGATCAACGACAAACAAATATTGATTTGCTTTCGAGGATGACTTAAAATAAAAGATCGTACTGGCGATTTTCACCCAGAAAAGATAGAAAGCAGTATGGAGCATATGAAAGTTACGAGGCGCCGACCATCAAGCTGTGATTTCTGTAGCCACGATTAAATATAGTTTGTTTCGGAATCGCGTCATTTCCGATACACATTGCGGTCGTTCAGCGTGATTGATTTCAGATCGCAGGCAGCATACATTTTTTAAATCACTTTTTACGCACTGTTTATTTTCGATAAACTACGCTATTTCTTTTTACTTTACGATCTTTCACTTCTTTGACACAAAAGACGAAATTGATACATTGTTTCTTTATATATAAAATTAATTAATAATTTTGTAACAATACGAGAAGTAATTTTTATCTAAACTGTGTATTAATGTTTTTTTAAATATATCTATATTTCTGAATTATGAATTAAATTATAAATTATATTATAAAATTGTGTAACTCTCAACAGATATCTGCTTATTATTGTATGCGTTGAATATGAAATTCGGTTCATACAATAATAATTTGTTTAAATATTAATTATTTTGAGCGTGCTGGTATATTTGAATCTTTTATTTGTATGTTCCAGCTTCAGTGTCATCAACTCCGCTGCTGCACATCGGTCGGTGAGTGACAAGCTTTTATTTTATTTCAAGATAATGGATTTATAGAGATCATAGATGTAGTTTTTCTAGGTGTAGATGTAGATGTAAATGTAGATGCAGATGTAGATTTTCTAGATAATCCATTATCTTAAAATGGATGAGTTAAAATTAATTAGGTCGAATATTTTATCCTGTATATAAATACGATTATTTATCAATTTATGCGTATGCACTCATATTGAGGCTGAATACTGATTATAAAATATACCAATTGACCGAGATTTATTTATCAATCATTTTTATAAAGATTAGAGATTAATAAAAAATGAAAAATATCATAGATAGAATAATCATAAAACATATATAAGAAATAATATATTTAAAAATAAATTACCTGCTTAAATTTTTTTATTTATTTGAATAAAGGAGAAAATGAAGAACAGTATAAATCTATAAAAAACATTAATATTTAAATTTTTTATTTTAATTCCTTCGTAATGTTTATATCTCAAACAAAATTAGAAAAAGATATTCTACTGCACTTTGAGAAATAAAAATATATTTAAATAAAAAAGGAGTATGTAAAACAAAATAAATAAAATACAAGTTAAATAAATAAAACTAATTATTGAAGGATTATTCTTTATTCCTTACCCTATTCATTCAGGATCAAATATTATATAAATCAGGTGCAAGAGAGCAATATACATATACTTACAAATTTTATCTACTAATTAATTTTTTAATAAACATACTGATTGTATGTTGCAACTTATTTTTATAATGCACCGATTTTATCCTATTTTTTCTAGCTCATCCATCTATGTTGATTTATATTAGTAGCAAAGTTATGATAAAATGATATGAGAAGAATATTTTATAAATTGTCTTAAACTGATTAGTTTCAATTATATTGCAAATACACTTTAATTGAAAAATATATGTATATAAAATAATTTTGATACAAACAACGCGCACGAGATGTTTGTAATGTCTATACATATACCAGCAGAATAAAGGTAAGCTACAAATTTCTGGCTAATACTGACCAGATTATATAAAAACGTAAGATACATATCTTCTCGCATTTTTATTTCATCAGTGATAGTACGTAATCACACAATACGTACAAAATTTCGTTCGAACAAAAGCGATTATTACGCGCAAACAACATTAGGCGAACTTGGGTATTCATTGATGTGTCAAGATATTAAATTGACCGATGAGTTAATAAGCTAATACCCCGTCGAGACAGAGATGAGTGATTATAAATTTAAATTAGTATACATACTCATTCGATTAATTAAAAATTAATGAAGATATTAATGTAAAAATGAAAGAAAGTGTAGAGAGACTCGATAAAGGTTTCTGATTGTAAGATGAAATTTTTTAAAGGATTATATTCCCGTTTATCCACTTCCGCCCAGGACATCCTGTATATTGCGAGACATGTTTTATAATGTCAGAAGTGGGAAAATCTCGCTCGATCTTTTCCGCGTGGTATATATCGTCGCAATAAAATAATTCTCTTATTTAAGGAAAAAAAAACTACGCCAGCTAAAGAACGTCTTTTCACGATTTTTCGTATTTTGCTAATGAAACAATTTTCATTGTAAGATTATATTACATCAATCAATATATTTTGATAAATAAATAAATTAATAATTACATTTATTTATAAAAATATGAATAAAAATCAATCCACGCAAATTATTCAAATTTAGCATTTATAAAAATTTTACTGAAGAATTTAATAATTAAGTATACGTCATAAAATGTTTTCTCGTTACTTTTTTTTTAAGCTAATGCAGGATCTCGAAATGTATAAAAATGTGATTATTCTTTAATAGCGCGGTAAAAATGCAAAGTTTCTTTCAGAGTCAAAGGAAGCGGTTTTTATCTCGGAAAGAAAGTTCTTAGAATGTCCGTCGGTTTCCGCGACAAAAGGAACAGATAATGAGGTAGAGAGAGAGAGATTAGATCGACGGACGCAAAGACACATGGGCGTATATTGAAATCAGAGAGACTCATAGGATCAAAAGCAATACGTTCTCACTAGCCTTGTCCGTTATCGAAGCCGGCGAACTAACGTGAAAGCTATGAAAGCTCGCTCACGGAATTTCATTTTCCGTATCCGGAATCATATCTCGCCGACCGCCACGCTGACTATCGATCCCGCAAAATTTACTTTCATACAATTCAATGCAGATTTCGTGCATTCACGGAGAAAGTAGATTCAAGAGTAACGCGGCAGAAAAATCGCGACGAAAAGAAACGCGAATGATTTTTCTGCTATATGCAATTATTTCATCTCTCTCTCTGTATTAATGATTGATCGAACAATTTACAATAATTTTATTAATTTTTTATCAATAGGAATTATTTCATGTTTATGCGGCGTTAATAATATAGCTGCGTTAATAAATATCAAACGCCTCCTGTTTCAATAACATATTTCTCGTACATGAAAAGATCTTTCATTAAGATTAATTATAAATATTCCATTTGCGTGCTCGCATATTAATTGAAGCGATAAATATATATATATATATATATTTCCTCTTCCTACTGCGAAATCGAAAGTCCATATAGTCGTCGTCGCGAGGCGACATGAGCGTGTATCGCGAGAGGAAATGAGCACAAGTGAAAACTGTCATGTATTCGCGATTAAATCCACCTCAATTATCGATTTCCTTCCCACGCACCGCCACGTGGAAAAGATCACCTTTTTGCGGTGATTCGCGCTCGTTTCAGATTTCAGCAAAACGACAAACTTTAAAATCCTACTTCTTAGCTTCTTGAACCTATTGATATTTGTCATGTCGGCATTGCCGCATGAATAATTACAAGGCTAAAATTTAAATCATATGTATACAATATTATAGTTTATAGTAAAAAAAAAAAATTCGAATAGACAATGCAAGAAGAACATATTTTTAACAAATTTTCTAGCGATACAGAATATGTATACCTGTCTCGCTAAGTGAAAGAATTAAACACCGCACAATAATATTAAAATTATTCTAATCAACTTTCGATAGAAGTTTGACACAGGGTATTTTCTATAAAATATATAATTTGCAATTGATTTTTTGGAAATATATAAGCTCTCTTCTGATATTAAAAATGAATAATGCAATAATGAGAGGCGATTAGCGTTGCTCCGTTTTATTGAAAGCGAAAGTGCCAGTCATCAGTGTCTTGATAAGTAGTGAAGGTGAGGTGCATTGAACTGTTGCTGAAGTGCCCTGTACGTATCCAGTCTGTCTGTTTACATACCTGGGTTCTCAGCTACTGGTTCGAGAATGCTGAAGAGAGGGATCGGGATGCTGATCTTGATGGAGCGGATGCGGGTAGGAAGAGGGATGAGGGAACAAGAACGATGTGAGAGTAGGAAATTAAGTATCAATGTATATCGCGTATCCTACAGAGAAACGCCATTATATTAATCCTTCCCTGTTGCTTGGAAGCCGCTTTGAGGTCTTTTTTAGCCAACCTGCGATCATCTCGCTCAAACTTCGCGAACATGACTGTTCGCCAAATCGAAATCAAGTGTAATCAGCTGTTTCAGACCTTTTTCAAAGTGAATTATTCCTCGCTATACAGGATGTCTTGCAATTATGCAATTTGTTATTTAGTGTCTGCTATTTATATAGAAATATATATATATATATATAAATACTGTTTGTTCAATATTTGGAAAGAAAGTCTGGAATTTAATTTTAGTGAAGAGTCATTTAAGTAAATTTTTAATTTAATCATTGATACTTATATTGTACATCGAAATTTTCTATTTCAATAAATATCAAGGTTCAAAAATGACAGACTTAGCAGACATCCCGTATGAGCAGTACTTATTAATTAGCAGTACTTAAACTCATACTTATTCAAATGAAAATAATTACAAGAGAGTCGGTGTGCTTCTCGTTAATTAGCCGCTCGCGTATATGACAAACTCAAATGGTAAAAAAATAAAAATAAAATAAATCGAGGTCTTTTAACGCGAGAATTGATGGGGGGAGAAGGTTGGTAGAAATTAACGCCGGAAGGACCGCTGCCGCCATTTTCCAGCCAGCATCTCGTCGTTTCATTCGCAATTTTATCGAACAGTTGCTATAGGAATTTTTTCTTAGCGAAACCCGGACTTGTGTAATACCAGAGTGTCTAGCAATCAGGGAAATCTGGAAAACCGGGCATTGTCAGGGAATTTTATAAATCTGCGGAATTGTCAGTGAAATGTCAGGAAATTTTACTATTTATCTGAATTTTTTTTAATAATTTGACATCTTGTATAAAATAAATATAAACTTTTCCTTGACTCCCACGCTAATTTTCTGTGTCGTGTTATTTTATTTCAATGTGTTTAATAGAGACAAAACTAAAAAATTTGATGTGATATAAATAAAAAAGAGGATTATTTAAATAGTTTATAGTGACACGTTTGATTTAAATTTTTGTTTTTTTAACTTCAAAAATATCTCAAGGATTTCATGATGTAACATTGAATTGATTTATCATATAGATATATGCAAATGATATATTTGGAAAAAATAATATTAAAAAATTAGGGGAAAAATCAATTTCTGGTCTTGGAAAATCTGAAAAAGTCAGGGAATTTTATAAATCTGGAATTGTCAGGGAAAAGTCAGCAAATTTTACTATTTATCTAGATTTTGTCACATTATTCTACATCTGTCTCGATAATTTGACATTTTTATTAAATATCTCGAAGATTTCATGATTTAACATTTAATTGATTTATCATATAGATGTATATAAATTATATATTTGAAAAAAATAATACTAAAAAGTCCGGGAAAAAATTAATTTCTGGTCTTGGAAAATCTAAAAAGGTCAGGGAATTTTTTTCATTTTCTTTCAATCGATGATTAATTAAAAATGAATTCACGTGTATATTTGGAAAAAATAATACTAAAAAGTCAGGGGAAAAAATGAATTTCTGGTCTTGGAAAATCTGAAAAGGTCAGGGAATTTTGTTCATTGAGTCTGCTGGACACCCTGAGTACGATTTTTTCTGACGCGCAAAAGTCGCGATTCTAAAATGGCGGATCGCCGTCCTTCCGGCGTTAAAGAGATCATGCGGTCGACCTGGTCCTGGGCATGTCGGCCCCGAGACCGCTGTCCTCGCTCGGCGATCTATACTCCTGGTTATCCCGCGGTAGAAGAGGGCCCGTCACTCCTAGGGGATCTCCCTCGACGTCCACCAGTCGTCCCGGACGGCAACAACCACCGGACACACCCCTCTGCGAGAAATCAGATGTCCTGTCATGCCGTGCGCCCTTTCCCATACCGCGTAAAAAAAAGTGCTTGCTCTCTTTCTTTTTCTTTTCGAACAAGGGGCGACCGTCCGATCGATGATTTTATCGGGACGCTGATTGGATGATACAGGGAATTGTCGCGTTTCCGTGGCTTTCAGAACCGTTCTTCATTGACGAATCCGCGAATTTGTTCGTTGGAACGGGTCGGTAAATATTATATTTTTATTTTTCTTATATCTCCGATGTAGTAGGTTAATAATTGCGATTAATTAGGAAGAAGTAAATCAAAAGTTTGATTAAAAATAAAAATATATAATAGTCACAAAACAGAATTAATATAACGTATAATAAGCGATTTATTTATTTCAATTATTATCTCAACTCTTTATACATATATAACAAAAATTAAGTTAGTATAATAATAATAATAATAATAAAAGAAAAATATTGAATTATAAATTAAATAAAATAAAACTGACAAAAGCAACGTGATAATGCTTAATAAAATATTAGTAATATACTTATAATAACTTATAAATATTATATTGATTCACTTGGATTTTTGTTCATTTATTTAAGAGATATATGTCAGAATTGCCCACGATTTATTAACCTCGGGTATCGATTAACTGGCACATTATCCATTCTCGAGCAAATTGTCAATGAAATTAGCAATCGAACAATAATTCATTCATCATCGATCGACTTGTCGCGCGTCGCTCGCTAACATTTGTCTCCGTGTATGCAGCTGACACTTGATTTACGACGCTCTTTACCGAAGTCTGCCGACACTTCTCCAAGGCATTTACCGATCTTGCCAGGAAATGATCTACAAACGATCGCGCGGTCTTTTTTCGGTCGGTTTAGCGTCATAAATCGAGCGTCGATCACTCAAACGGACAGTCGCGCTGTTTTGTATGTAAGATTTGTGCGATATGTGTTATACAGGGTGTCCTGTAACTAACGGACCAATGATTAAGGGCGGATTCACTGGCCAATTTGGAGACGATTTTTCCTTAGCAAAAATGTTGAGGAGTCAATAATTTTCGAGTTATAAGCGATTGAAAAAAATGGGTTTTTTGAAAACTAAACGTTTTGGAGTTAAAAGTCTAACATAATTACATTCTTCAGTTAATTTCAGGTAGAGTTTACTATAATAAAATTTTAATTTGAGGCTTAGTTATAAAGATACATAATGACAAATATTGGAAAGTTGTAAAAAATGATGACCTTTTCCGACATTTTCGCTGAGGAAAAATCGTTCCCAAATTGACCAAAGAAACCATTTGTAATCGTTAGTCCGTTAGTTACCGGACATCCTGTATATATATATATTTTTTTTTTTCGAAAAAAACAGCTTTTATTCTCGCAATTCGGCTCGATTTTTCACGAAATTGTGAAACGGAACGAATGTTCTTGCTTCTAGCGAGAGAAGGAGGCAGGAAGATGGCGAGCACAGCAGCTTTCTACTTATCCGTTTTTTAACAGCAGGCATCTAACAGATCGTATCCGACTAACAATGAGAAGGGAAAAAAATGCATGTGCAAGAGCGCGTCTTCTCATAATGAGAAATTTTAATTAGAAACCTTGGTTTTAATTGCAGTAAAGAGAGAGCGGCAATCGTATACAAAATGTAGTAAAATTAGTATTAAAGCATAATTATAATTATAATTTAAGTGTGGCGTGTTACGCAATATTACAAGAGCGTAATATAATACTTATAATTTTATGTACTCAATTTCATTTATAATTATAATTATGCATCTGATAATTTTTTCTTCAATTATTCGCTATCGATTCCTCCGATTGTAAGATATCGTTAATTGAATATATTTTTTATCCGTTACGCAAAGAAATAGATAATGAATTAAGATTAACATCGAAGGAATCGATAATTTGCAAATTGTCAACAAACATTAATTAATCGCAGGGAGCAAGATAGCGCAGATATATAAACAAGACTATAAAAATAAAATAGCACTAGCGGTGAATAATAAGAGCTAAGAGAAGAAGAAGAAGAAGAAGAAGTGATAGAAAATAGAAGTAGAGAATGCGCATCATTTTAGAGAAAGAGAAAAGAAGAGAAAGATAGGCCGAGAAAAAAAGCTGCGCTTGGACGAACAAAATTCATTTAGACAATTGTCGCACCGATTAAATAAATAGGGTAATTAATTAATACGCAACGAATTATTAATTAAATCATTACGACTAATCTTATTATTAATAATATAGGAAATTATACAAAATAGAAACAATGAAAAGCATTTGCTTTTGAGAAATTAAATAAAACGGGGGGAAAAAAGAGGATATGAAAACAGAATGGATGCATATTAATTTAAGTGGTATGATATTTCTCTGCATTTTTTTTTTTGCTCTATTATATCAAACTTAATCTGCTAAAAAACTAGAGAGTATCCGTATATATTGTTTTAATTAAAAAAGAATGTAAAGGCCTGCGTGGCATTGAAAAATCTTGCATAAAATGCGACATTAGACGAGAGATTTATCAGGATTATATTGTTGTGACGTAATAGAAATCAAAGTTGATTGTCGGCATGTCGTTTATCCAACGGACTTTGATATTTCCTTGAACCAGAGCGAGTTTTTTTTTTTTTTTTTTTTTTTTTTTTATTCATTGTCGTCAAGCAGCTGTTATCCTCGGAGAGAAAGAGAAGGAGAGAGATAGAGAGAAAGAGACGAAGGGATTGCAAGTCATTTTCCTGACATACGAGTCATGCTTTTGCTCGAGGAGAGAAGATAACGACAGACCGGAACGATCGAACGCGGAAATTAGAATCGATCGCGATGACGATCTCTCTCTCTTTCTTTCGATCGAGAGCGATATGCGAAGCGATTCTTTTGCGAACAATCTCCAGGAGATTATCGCGAATTCCCTGAGATTCCAAGAGGATCCCTGTATTCACCCTGGGAGAGCGTCTTCCTGGATTTGCCTGGTTCTCCGTTTTCCCTCGCACCTCTCCAATCGATCGCGGATTTCCATTTTTCTCCAACTGCCAGTCGCATCTGTGACGATCACCGATAACGAACGATAACTCCTTGCCGAATCATCAGTTTAATACTTGCCGGTCATGTCGATCGTCAAGGATCTCTAAACCTTATGTTAGTTTCACGTTCGAAGTCTTTCTCGTTATTTCGCCGCAATTTTTTGCGTACAATATATATATGACAGAATTAATTTATTATTCGAGATTTATCAGAGTAGGATATTATTTTGTATGAAAATTATTTTTCGAGATTTTTAAAATTTTTGTAAATATATTTATCGGTGAAAATAAAATAATGATATAAAATATATTCCGATAAATTCTATCTCTCGTTTAAAAAAAAGAAGGCAATTACTCCGAGTTATTATTCTTTATTATAAATAAATCACGGCGTTTTCGTTCTAAATTCTGAATAAATTGTGAAATATTTCTCTTGAGATCGACTTCCCTTTGTTTCGCACAATTTCGCTCGTTCTCGGCTGGATGATAATTTTTCCAACGGCGCAATTAGTCTGGATTAAGAACGCGTGCGCGCGATGACGAGGGACTTTCGGGAAATATATTTCCTTGCGGTTTTCCCTGTGAAAGTCCGTCGACAAAAAAAGGGCGGGAATGCAAAGCGATTCTCCTAATGTCTTAATAATTAAGGTGAACAGAGATCCACAGAACAGCGAGTGAGAGAAAAAGAGAGAGAGAGAAAAAGTCGGTATTCCATACATCATTATAAAGAGATATGAGAATAATAAAAATGTGTGTACGTGTTTGGTCGTGGTGTTTCTTCTGTGCTCGTATTTGCGTAACACAATGCGCGCAAACGCGCGTGTAAATGTGTCAGTGTACTTTGTAAGCTCGGGGGATATGAATAGAGTGTCGTGAGTTAGGTTCAACTTACCGGAAGATCGTGTAGCGAGGGAGTCACTATCAAATCCGAGTGAGCGCGGTCGCCTTTTCTCTAAAAGAGGCAGAAAAGACAAAAAGCGCCGTCTTAGAAATCATCTTGAGCTAGACTTTCCATTTTCTTTGGAGAACGGTTTTTTTATTCTAATTGTTTACTCGACGCGTTTCAGTGAAGTGACGTTAGGTTAGAAGACAATTTTTATATAGGGTAGATTAACATTTTTTTTTTTTTTTAATTTATCCGGAGCAGCTTCTGCTGAAGAGATATTCCCAAATTTGTCCCAAAGAACCGGTTAGTTGATGGTTTAGAAATGGGGGATTATATAATTCTACAGTTAACTCATTTATATTTAGAAAGCAAATTATAAGCATAAAAGCAAAAATGCATTTTAATAAAAATTAAAATCCTCTCTCTCTCTCTCTCTCTCTCTTTCTTTCCTTCTCCTTTCTCTGTTTCTCTCAAGTAAAAGTTAAAAATATATTTTTATTTTGCATTCTTTCAGTCTATATATCTTTTCCCTCTATATATCTTAATTTATTAAGCTGTCAGAATGCTAATTATAATTTTAAATGTATTCCCATATGTTAATATAAGTAATACATAAATCTCTGAGACGCGCATATATGTTCCAAAATGTGTTTACATTTGATCATGGAGAGAAAGAGAAACAGAAAAAGAGAGAAGATATTTTAACTACATATACAATATAACACATAACTTGATTTGATACTAATACTAGTGTTCGGTACAATTTCGTGCACATATATATGCTGTCTAACTCTGCAAGCTCTAACAATTTTTTCCTCGGAATATTCTGAAAGCTTTCGACTAAGAAAAATGGTTTCAGAACTTTTGAAAAAAAAAACTCACCCTGGCCATCGCTATTCGGGGTCGATAGACGAGGTCGTCGAAGGCCGCTCTGTCCTTGTTGTCGACGAGCTCCCTGAGCTCCGTCAGCAGTGTCAGCTTCTCGTTAGTGTTGAGCAAATCCGCCAGACTGACCACCAGGTCTTCTATCGTAAGCCTTCTCGTTCTGTAGTCCGCCAGGAGTTGAGAGAGCGCGGCTCGCTCGCTCCTGGCAAGGACGACCCTCGCCTTTTCCTCCACCATGGCGGCGGTGGCTGCCGAAACTGTGTGAACGCCACTTCGATGTCTCCACTCGTTTGTGCTACTCCTTGATTTTAATTTAAAATCGGTCGGATATAATTTTACGTTACGTAAGAGCGAAGGAATTTTAAGTGTGCGAAAGAAATATTTTATTTCTCTTGGCGGAAGATTTATTCATTTTCAGGGTGTCCAGCGATCAGGGAATTTTATAAATCTGAAATTGTTGGGAAATTTTACTAATTATCTGGATTTTTTCACATTATTCTACATTTGTCTCAATAATGTGAAATTTTTTATTAAATAAATATAAACCTTTCCTTGACTCACAGCGTGTTTGTTAATTTATATTTTCATTGTCGCGTTATTTTATTTCAATGCGTTTGATAGAGATAAAATTAAAAAATTTGATATAATATAAATAAAAAAGGTGATTATTTAAATAGTTTATTTTTGTTTTTTTAACTTCTCTCCGAACCTTTTCATTGTAGATAAAAATATCTCAAGGATTTCGTGATTTAACATTTAATTGATTTATCATATAGATATATTTGGCAAATTATATATTTGGAAAAAATAATACTAAAAAGTCAGGGAAAAAATAAATTTCTGGTCTTGGAAAATCTGAAAAAGTCAGGGAATTTTTTTCATGGAGTCTACTGGACACTCTGATTTTCGATTTAGTAATTAGATATACCCGGGGTGTTGAAATTGGAAATTATTTACGTAATATTTGTCGCGAGAATATACCGATACATAATTTTAATTAGACGGATTTTATTGAACGTGATGATTTATTGATTCATGATTTAATTAACCATATGCTAATATTATTCTTTCATTATTCTGACAGAATTCTAAATTATAATTTCACTGTAGCCGGCTATAATATTATCGCTACCATTAAATTAGAATTACATAAGGATTTAAAAGTTATTTTTAATTTAAAAGATTAAAATATTTTTCTGTAATTTTGTTGTAAGTAACATTTAAGTATTTTAAATATGAAAATAATAATAGACAATATAAAATCTATACATATACATACATAAAAATTGTGATACATGCATATAAAAAAAAGTTTTTTATTTTATAATCTATACATATATACATATATAGCTACCACATTGAAACAAATTATTGAAAAAATTAAAATGAATAAAATTTGACAAAAAATATATTTGCGACTTACGCGGGACTGGGTGGTCGATGATTCCCGGGACTTTCTAGAAGCAAAGGATCGTGCTCGGGATATCGGGCGGTCGGGATTACTATAGGTTGACTGGTGGTACAGGAATGTGGAACTTTGCCGACATCGCGTATCAGTAGACTCATCCTTTTGTTGGTCTTCAATATCTGCACAGCTTCGTCGTGCGTGGCTTCCTCGAAATTTTGTCCGTTTACCTCGATTATTTGATCGCCCACCTGCGATTATTCGAAAGCATCTCATATTAGAGTTAAGATTGAACGTAGGAGTTTTGACATTCTTGAATAAACAAGCCGACATCATTAATAGTTATTATTTTATAAATTATTAAAAAATATGTACATGAGTAAATAACATATAATCAAGTAACATTTATTTAATTAATGAAAAATAATAAATAATTTTCATATTATGCAGAATAGAATATATGATTTAAAATTAATATTTAATACAGTTATAAAGAGAACGAGAGACACGTGAAGATTATTAAAAATGTAGACGGTTATTAATTTTATCATGAGTAAATAACACATAATCAAGTAACATTTATTTAATTATTAAAAAATAATCCATAACTTTTATATTATGCAGAATAGAATATATGATTTAAAATTAATATGTAATACAGTTATAAAGAGTACGAGAGGCATGCGAGGAAGATTATTAAAAATGTAGACGGCTATTAATTTTATCATGAAAAAATAGGTATATTTCAGAATTATCTCAATTAGCCTAAATAATTCTCTTAATTAAAATTTCCGTTTCAAATAATCTTTCATTTATTTGAATGATATATAATTATTATATAATAAAAATATTACGCATATCGAATCTCTTCTAAAATCTAAGGAAACCTAGCATGGGAAATGCAAATCTAGTAGAAGTTGGTGATTCTCACGAGAAGGCCGGCGCGATCGGCGACGCTGTCCTTGTCGACGCCCGTGACGTAAATTCCGAGGCCGTATTCGAGACCACCCCGGATCATCAGGCCCAGGGACTGGCCGGGTTCGATGCACAACTCAACTTTTCGCGTCCTCGGACAACCGTAGCGGGCATCGCGAGGTGGATGAAGCGGTGGCGGTGACGCTGGACGACCTTGGCGATCCATCCAGCTGCAGGACTGCGGTCGACCCGACGACGACCAGACGGGGTGACCGCCCCTACAGCGAGGGTCCAGCGCGGGCCCTCGCACTGTCATGCTCAAGGTCCTGCAGGACTTCAGCATCTGTCGAAACGCGAAAAATAATCTCGTACCAAATCATTATTTGAATTTGTATGCAGGAGCTGTATGGTCGATATTTTCTACACTGTAAAAAAATATGTAATATATTACACAAAAATATGTAAAATTACATAAATAATAAGTGTACAATTACACGATAAATAATAAAAATGTTTACCTTTTCATTATTTATCGTGTAATTTTACATTTATTATTTATGTAATTTTACATATTTTTAATGTAATTTTACAAAATTTTTTTACAGTGTAGAAATAGTTATTAATTCAAATATTTAAGCAATGTATTTTTTGCCAAACAATATTCGCAAAATCTTTCGAGATCTTAAACATTTTTTCGAATCCAGAGTGTCTAGCGGTCAGGGAAATCTGGAAAACCGTTTATCTCAATATAATTTGGATTTTTTATTAAATAAATATAAACTTTTCCTCGACTCCCAACACGCTAATTTTCTGTGTTGTTAAAAATCGATTCATCTACAGCGTGTTCGATAATTTATATTTTTATTATCATGTTACTTTATTTCAATGTGTTTAATAGAGATAAAACTAGAAAAATTGATTTAATTTTTTGTTTTTTTAACTTCCGAAGTTTTTCATTGTTGAAATATCTCAAGGATTTAATGATTTAATATTTAATTGATTTATCATATAGATATATGCAAATTATATATTTGGAAAAATAATACTAAAAAGTCAGGGAATTTTTTTATTGAGTCTGCTAGACACCCTGGAATCAATAAATCTGACACGAGTATCGAAATCGAATATTTTTCTCCAGTCCAATTAACTTTTATATTAATATATTTTACAACTGTCATAAAAAAGTTAATATTAAAATATTCAAATTTTTAAGAATGTCGTGAAGTTCACGCGAGGTTGAAAAATTGTTCTATGTCATTAGACTTGTGAAAACTTTGCAAGATATTTCTATTCGCCGCTTGATGAAATATTTTTCACTAATGCTATGTTATTTTCGAGAAGGAGCTCGGCATTCTTCATGATCGATTTTTTCAAAAAACGCGCGGCATTTGCGAGAGTTAACGAAAAACAGAGGAGTGATGGAACTTTGAACGAATAATGTTAACGAGAAAAGAGAACGACAGTCGCGTTTTGCGTCGATGACGCCACTCGGCAGCCAGCAGGATATCGATCCTCCTGGCAGAGCCTGTGACGTCACATCCTACCCTATCCTTGACCCAGCCCGGATCACGTCCTTTAGGATCTCTCGCGGTTCGCAAGATATGAGTCTCTCATGGCATCTTCTCGCGGAGCGCGTCTTTTCGCGCGAACACGCGGAGAATTTTCCGTTGTTTTCCGCTCGCAGTTATACAACGGATGTGCCGGGGAAACATAAAAATGTCATTTCATTTTCGCGACGATGCGCCCGATGGTGGAATCGCATTTCGTAAATGCTCTCGCTACCCGATCCTATGGATGCTTTCCCGGAACTGTATCGTAAACCATCTCTCTGTCTGTTTCACCGTCCAACTTTGTGCTCTCCGAATTGTATTATGTAAATTAGATTTGCTACTTTACATACGAAAGATGCTGTCAAATGGAATTTCCAAAATTCTGCTTATCTCTATCCATACAACAGATTTGATCAATTCTTCAAAAATCAAAACTTCTTTCTCGTTGAAATGTTTTAATTCGAAATAGCTTATTTATTAATTTTTATTCTCTTGTAGATTATGAGATTTTTAATATATGAATAATCTTACTAATGTTTTATTCGACAGTTTTTCTTCTGCATAGAAAAAATATTCCTAATTTCTATCTACAATAATTAGCAGATGATTAATAAACATTGACTAGTTTGAAGAATGCAAATTAACTTTTTAATTATCTTTTCCCAGCAATTGAAATTTATATTTTTTATTCTTTCATTATTTATCTTCGATTTAATCTTTATTATAAATGTATAATTTTTAATAAATCTTTTATATCGACTAACATCATTCAATATCGTCGCTCAATTTTAAGGATTTATATAGCCTGAAAGTTTTATATATCAGTCTGATTTATAACAGTCTGTTATCACGGCATGTTACTACAAATTATATATGAGAAAAAATGAATATTAGATTAACTGTAAGAAGAAAAACACAGTCATTTGGCGATTTTGTGATCGGCATTGCTGGTCGTAGCTAGAACAACTAAATAATTTATGAGAAAAGAAGTAGAAATAGTCCATTTGGTCAGGCTCGAACTGTCATACTCGGAGTTTGACATCCGCTATTTCCGGCACTCACGTGCAGTCATATTTTTGGTCGGCAGTAAACAGTTATCTACGACCGATCCGGAAGTTATGGTGCTATCCAATAGACATCGTTCTGGCCATTTTTGCCAAGAAAATCTGTGCTTTCTGGGTCAGCCGAATCGATTGTAGTCAATGATGAGTTATCAAAGTTATAGTTTCCGACATTCTAGAGTGAGAGCTTCAAAGTCCACGAAAGTTTTTTTCTTCTTATATTTTATTCCAGAAAAATATCTCGGAATATTATCACTAAATATTATTACTATAAGGACTTATTTTCAGAATTTTTCAAAAGAAAATCTATATATAATTGATAGTCAATACACGAACAGTTGAAAAATTTCTGTTAAATTCAACATAATATGAGTATGTTGAATGGAGACACAAATATTGTGTTAATATTTTAACACAAAACTTTAAATAATTTAAAATAAATTTTGTATAAAATTAACATACTTTTATAATGTAAAAATTATATCATCACTTATATTATAAAATAGAAAATCCACATTTTTTCTATAAATTTTAACAGAAAAATCTCGTCACTAATAAAGCAGAACATATTTATTGTGTAAAATTAGAAATAGATGCACATTGTGTTATTTCTACATTCTCTTTCAGTTCTATTAATAATTTAACATTTGAGTTCAAAATAATAATTTTCCCAATAATTTGAAATTTTTTATTAAATAAATATAACTTTTCCTCGACTCCCAGTTTGCTAATTTTCTGTATTGTTAAAAAATATTTAACCAAAATTTTCACGGGGACCGTTTTTAACAAGAAAGCACAAATTTTTCTATTGTGCGCGCATATGCAATAATATTACGAATTCTCGTTTGAAGGGTTCTGAATAACTGAAAATTCTTTTAATAATTTAACATTTGAGTTCAATTAACAGAACAGTAATATGTTAAATATTTAACAAAAATTTCTAACTTATCTAGATTTTTACACATTATTCTATATACATTTGTCCCAATAATTTAAAATTTTTTATTAAATAAATCTAACTTTTCCTCGACTCCCAGTATGCTAATTTTCTGTATTGTTAAAAAATATTTAACCAAAATTTTCACGGGGACTTTTAACAAGAAAACACAAATTTTTCTACTGTGCGCACATATGCAATAATATTACGAATTCTCGTTTGAAGGAATAACTGAAAATTCCGAGGCAAAGTAAATAGCGCTCAGTTATTGGTCACTCTTTTCCTTTTGAGGAAGCGCAGCAGCAGTAGCATTCGCGGAAGCTTCGTGTATTATGTAAAGAGAATAAATGAGACGAGGGGGTTGGCCGAAGGGCGCCGGGACGCCTGGCGCCGCCAAGTCGTCGTCGTCCTTGTCGTCATCGTCGTCGTCGTAGTCGTAGCTCGAGGGGATGGAAAAAAGCGACATAGCCTCGTCGAACGTGTTGTTTGCCTAGCACGCATCTCCTCGGGAGCAACTCGATGTGCCATTACGAGATAACGAGTCTCGCCGCCACCGTTATCCTTTACAGTCTCTCACGGTGAATACACAGTAATTTGATCCTGTTTACGCTGATCGATAACTTTAAAGAACCGTGTCGTGCTTCCGCAAATCCCGCGAACAATGTCGGAGAATATCGAAATTGTCATTTCGATAGACAAAAATGAAGAGAGGGTGTCGGGGAATTTTATAAATCTGGAATTGGGAAAAGTGAGGAAATTTGACTATTTATCTGAATTTTGGGTCACATTATTCTATATACATCTGTGTCTCAATAATTTGAAATGTTTTATTAAATAAATATAACTTTGTTGTTAAAAGTCGATATATATTTCAAAATATATTGTAACAGTGTTCAAGAACTTTATTTTAATTAATTTTTTTTATTAAAGATTTATTACATTAATTTTATTAAAAATGTTTTATTTAAAAGTTTTGTTGTGATATTAGATACTATTAAATATTGATTTAAATTTTAGTTTCGAATCTTTTTATTGTTAACAAAAATATCTCAAGGATTTCATGATTGAACATTTAATTGATTTATCATATATAGATATACGTAAATTATATATTTGCAAAAAATAATATTATACTAAAAAGTCAGGGAAAAAATTAATTTCTGGTCTTGGAAAATCTGAAAAAAATCAGGAAATTTTTTCGTTGAGTCTACTGGACACCTTAATTAAGTTTACGAAAAATCAGCATAATACACGAAACTGATTATTTAATACTCGTACTGCAAATAATATAAGAAAATATGTTTCAATCTGAGTTAATATTTCTGAAACAAAAAGATCATTTGCACACATTAAGTGCATATTAATTATCATATTTAGCTGTGGCGAAAGCTTGAAATATTTCATTGAATAAAAGATGACGCAGACATCCTGGGTATTTTATCGAATTTCGCGAGATTTATATAATTGAATTTGAATCAATGAAATAGCGATAATAGAAATAAACGTTGATAAAAGTAAACGAAATAAGCCATTAAAGTATTAATTCATTTAATCGCGCTATTTTATTTTAATTTTAAAATATTTTATTTTTAAAATACTAAATGATGGAAGAGAAATTACTAAAGTTTCACGCATTATAGACATATATAGTTCATAAATATATTGAGATTCATTTAAAAAATAAAATATATGTTCTATAAAAAATTAAAGTTATTGAAGTCGAAGAAAATTTTTTCTCGAAATATTGCAGATGGAATTTGTGCAATATTTCTTAAAAATTAACGTACATTATTTTATTATAATATATTTCTTATCTCTTTATAATATCGTTATCTCATATATCTTTATTATTTCATCTAACATAAAATAATCGTGAATACAATCTGGTATAATAATTGGAGTTTGATAAAAGTTTTTAATTCAGAAAGTATGATAATATATGAGAATAAAAATTCGATAAATAGCGCGCACGCGAAATAAGTTACAGAAGAGAAATTAACATATTGACTCGCTTGATATTTATATAAATAAGGCAGATAAAGTTTACATTAAGATTGAGGATATACATATAGCCGATCGATTGAAAATTCTCTGTAGAAATGTATCTATAGAGATATATGTGAGGGAGGGTAATCACAGGAGTGGATATAGATCACCACGACCCATTCGTTCGACTCTTTTCTGCGATAGCAATTTTTCCGGAATATCGTCGGCCTAAGTCTTTAGAACTCGACCTATATCCTGGCTTTCGTTCTATGCGTGTATCGATCGATTTTCCCCGCGTATATGAAAAATCGCATCGCGCAAACAATGAGACAAATAGAATCCGAAGCTTTGTGAATGCGAGAATAAACTGCAGCGTTAAATAGAAAAATATTTAGTAAAATATAAATAAAAATTAGACAAATCCATTAGATTATATTAAATAAACAGAATTTAAAATTCTTGCCACTTATATTTTTAGAAATTTGTAATTGCAAATATACTTTTATATAAAATTGATACTAATATTTATTTTACGAAATTTTATTTTTCTATATGCCATTGTGAAATAAAACTATGAAATAAAAATTTCTTTATTTTTTAGAGTAGTCTGGTAGTCAGTAATTTTTCTAAAAATAAAAATGAATAAATAAATAAACGCAACAAATTGAATAAAATTAAATTTTATTAATTAAAATAAAATCTTGAGAAGGCTCGAATTATCCCGTCATGTTTGATACAGACGAGTAGAAACGCAGTAATCATTGACAGGCTGCATGAAGGATTGAAGAGAACCGTTACTAGGCAAGTCATTCGAGTGGAAGGAATTGCTGCGAGTAATCTCTCTGGTGTAAATGATTTCGCAGCTTCCGTCGTGGTTTAAAACAAAGACTATCGAGAATAATGGATGTCGATATCTAGAGTTGAAAGAAATATGAGAAGAAAATATTAAAAGGTCAAATGTAGTGTCGTTCAAAATTTTCAGATTTTCAATACAAATTTCCATATGAAAATTTATAGTTTCAACTTTAATTCTTCTTTCCTATTTTTTATTTAGTCGAAGATTGCTCATCGCGTTGTTGATCTAAAAATTTAACTCAAAATTCACCCGCGCTATGGCTCTAATTTAAGTTGAAAACTTCCTCGATCATAAAGTTTAGTTTCAAATTGGCTCTAGAGTGAAGTTTCTCAATTTTGAATTTAGATTTATGTGGAATGTTTCTGGCTTCTCTCTTAAGTCTTGTCACTTACACTGCGGTTGTGGTGTAACAGAGAGAGAGAGAGAGCGATGCTTAACTTTATATGCACGAATATATCCGCTTAGTGTTTGCCGCTTCTGAACATCGAGCGTGTTAGACGAAAGCAACAATGATATTCCTTTGAGCCCCTAGTGTACTCTACAGATCAAAGGGTGTTCTTCAGGATGGAAAGGTTCGTAACAGCTCACGTCGAAACTTGAAAAGTCGCAAATATTTCACACAAAACGTAGCGTACTTTAAAAGGAAATTGTGTCTCTTTAATGCGTTATTTGCAAAATTAGATCAAATAATTGTATCAAAATTGGAACTTTTGTAACAAATTTCAACATCGATATTGACAAAAAACTTTACTACAATTTTTAGATATATATGTTTATCTTTTTTTCCATGCATCAATTAACGGCAATTATAAAAGATTAGCGTTAAAAGTGGTTAAATCTCGAAAACGTGAAAAGATTGAGAAGCACTGATGATGGCAAAAGGAGTCAGAATAAGAAACGGTTGATTTCCAGAGCGGTTTGGTTATTTGCTCGCGGATTTAGGGATGCTTGACGTTTCTTCCTAGTTTCTCTAATCCAGTTGAGAACCAGACTTAGAACGAGGATCGATGAGACGGTTCTTAAGGTCGGCCCTAAATATAAGCCGCATTCGTGCGATTACTTGGAAAACCGGATTTAGAAATTCTTAATTGGAACGGCTCTAATTGCTCACTTTTGTTCTTCTTTTCCGAAAAAAAAATGCTAATTATTTTAATTATCATACATTAAGATGGCAAATGTTAAAGCATTCGCGAATTTAAATGTGACGATTTTGAGAAACAAACTTTTTATAATTTATTCTGTCCTTGGGATTAATTTAATCTTGGGTTTTAGGAATTATTTATTAAAGTATCTTAATCTAAATTATACATTCCAAGAATTAAAATACTTTAAACTGATATTTGGAACAATATTATTAATTTGGAAATTAGATTCAAAGTGTAAATTGTCAGACTTAAGAGACTAAAATAGTGAAAAATGATTTGTTATAAATTTACAATTTTTTAAATAGGTATTTAACAATACATATTAAGGAGATAAAAATAAAAAAAGGGGAATTATAAAAGGAAACAATGCATCACGAATGCTCATTATCTTCTCGTTCAATATCTCTTCAAGTTAGAACAAAGGTTTCAAAAGCAGTGGGCGTTAATGGAACTGCCAAAATTAGGAGAGAGTGAATGACGTAAAAGAAAGAAGGATGGATGGGTCAAGAAGCGAGTGGAAAAAGATGATGGAGTAAAAGTTGCGAACTTACTTTGAGGGCTTCCTCGTGAGTGACCGCGCGAAAGGGTGTACCGTTAACTTCCAAGATCGTGTCTCCTGGCCTAAGTCCAGCTCGTTCGGCCACCGAACCCTCTTCCACTCTCGAAATGTAGACACCCACCCCTGAGAACAGTTGGCAGACTTTCAATCAGACCGGTAAGCTGTCTTGCCGCTATTTCCGGTGATTGGTGCCAATTAAAATCTTCCACCCATGACGCGACAAATTGTCCGAACGATGAATTCGATATGTATCAATGCAACAAAGATTTGCTACTTCTTTTAATGAAAAAAGAAATGCGGGATATCTCCGATTTTTCATTTTAGGAAATATTATTTTCATACAAAAATTATTAAATTATTAATTATTAGATCGAATGTCTTGTAAAAATTTCGAAAAATATAATTTTATATTATATTTTAAATTTGTATGAAAAATGTTGATAAGGAAATTTTATACACCACCTTCTTTTAATGAAAAAAGAAATGCGGGATATCTCCGATTTTTCATTTTAGGAAATATCGTTTTCATACAAAAATTATTAAATTATTAATTATTAGATCGAATGTCTTGTAAAAATTTCGAAAAATATAATTTTATATTATATTTTAAATTTGTATGAAAAAATGTTGATAAGAAAATTTTATACACCACCTTCTTTTAATGAGAAAAGAAATGCGGGATATCTCCGATTTTTCATTTTAGGAAATATCGTTTTCATACAAAAATTATTAAATTATTAATTATTAGATCGAATGTCTTGTAAAAATTTCGAAAAATATAATTTTATATTATATTTTAAATTTGTATGAAAAAATATTGATAAGAAAATTTTATACACTTAATTTGTCTCCAAACAACAGCCAATATAGAGATATTGTTTTTATTAAAAAGGAGATAAATCATCTCACACAATATGTGGTACCGAGAAACCTGTTGACTACTTTGTAAAAGAGAGTTGACTTTCTGGCAAAGCTGGCAAACTTCCCCGATATACTTGTTGAAGCGGATACGATAAACGCCATGGGCAGAAATATTGTGAAAATAAAAGAATGGAGAAAAAAGTACGCGGATGCAACAAAGTGAAGTGAATATGAGAAAACGATGTGCGTCTCTGTGTGACACGATGCACGCGTGTATATATACGTGTATTCGCGTGACAGAGAAAGAGAGGCATGCACATAAATCTTTCGAAGAGAAACGTTAATTGCATTGCATGATGTGTATCATGCTCGCGTTTATGGATTTATGATATTAGTAGTATTATATATATTATATATTTTGTGTATGTGTTTGTGTTTTTTATGTATCGATTGTACTTTATTCCAAATAAATGGAAAAATGATAATCCATAACAATAACTGGTGGAAACCGAAAAAATTCATAGATTTTCAAAGTTTTTTTATACGATCTGTGCACCAGGATAATAAAATCTATAAACGATTTAATAAAAAAAACCGCTTTTACAGCGTAAAATAAAAATGATATCTTTTTGTATAGAATTTGACTGATTCTGAGTTATTGTAGCTGCGAATCTGAAATATATCGCAATAATCGGTCTAGGTAATATTTTTTTAGCACGAAATAATTACAAACTTTATATTAATATTATTAATATTAGAACCCTAGTTTAATATTTATTTTGCTTTACGGTTAATTGGAGTATAAGATAATAATTATAATAATATGCCGCGCGTGTAATGTTTACTCGATATTCACGTCGGATAAAAAATTCACATAAAAAAGCGAATAAAAAACGTGCAAAGGTGGAATTTATTGAAGTAATTCATGACCATCTTACTTTTTCGATCTATACTTGATAAATATTACAAAAATGTAGGGAAATATTTTTTATCGTTTTTTTATACTTTTCTCAAAATATTCGACTGAAATATTCACTTGAAAGTTGAATCTCGAGGATTTATCTTCCCAAACTCACTTTCAGTGTTACTCGAAATTACTTGAATTTTCTTCGCCAGGAAGAAGTGGGATTTGGTAAATTTTCTGGAAAATGGACGCTCTATAAGATACTTATATTTTTTCAACTCAAACTATATCAAAATAATATACCGCAAATGTTCCTTTTGAAGAAGTCTCCGCCAAAATTTAATCCACCAATTTAATTTTTATTTTCTTGCATTTTTGCAATTTAAAGTTACTTTGAAAATGTATTTCTAGCTTCATTATATAGTAGAATAGTAGAACATAATACGTATACGTGTGGTGATGTAATTCGTGTCAAAGCAAGAGTTAGGAAACGTGATAGTACATCGAATAGCACGTACTGCATTTATGCAGTTCATGCGGCATTGTTTATTGTGTGTTTGTGTGCGCATATTATCATCTTCATCAAGTTGAAATTGACATAAATTCTTAGAGCGATGAGAGAGCAAATTTAACGTCAAGATAAAAGTAGTTCATATATAGTTATACTTTTTATATCGCCAATAAAAATTGATAGATAATTTTGATGAGTGTTTAAATTGATATATATTTTTCTTCAATTTTTGATATTAAATTCTAGATTTCTATTTTGCATAGAGAAAAATGTTATATAGAAAAAATATTTTTAGAAAACAATCGTATGGTTATATTTACATTTAAAAATTGCAGAAAAATACTTTATTATATATATATTGAATTTTATTATATATTTTTTAAATAAAAAGATTTGAGAATTTTTTCTGTTGTTCTGACATTGCGCTCTACGCAGAGCGCACACTTTGCTACAACGCTTAAGCTCTTCTCTACGCACTTATACACAATGCGCATATATATATATATATATATATATATATATATATATATATATATATTGTACACCCATGCAATGAACTGTGCCAGAGAGACGTCTAGAGAGAGGAAGTAGCTTTCTGACAGATACTCGTGTAGTGCGATGCGTTATAAACCCTCCTTTCTCTTGTTGAATTACCTGACTGCGCTTCTGGTACAGCGAAACAGAAAATAAGAATGACACAACGCAAGTTGGCTTATTCTCGATCTCAGCCGCGGACGATGGCGAAATTCCCAGAAGATTCGCGTCGGGTTCAATAAGCTTTTCACAAACCATTATTATACGGAACTAATCTGATTAGACTCGAATTATAAAGCTTGCGCTAGTTTACGGAGCATTTTTAATAACAATATTAATGTAACATGAATGATAAAATAAATTTCAATATCAATTATTCGAAGGTACTCAATTTCATATATATTTATATATAAAATATATGTATCAATTATGTATATTTAAAACGAGAAACATAATATGTTGTGAATTTCAAAATTAATTCCAATAGCTTTTATATATTTTGAACAAAGCTATCAAATTCTAGATAGATTTATCGAAGAAAATAATTAATTATGTAACGTTTAAAGTTTAGAGATAGATATGTTTAATACTCGAAACGATAAAATTTAATGATGTGAAAAGAAGTTATTGGTGATACGAGCGAACATATATTTTTGTACAACTCTCTAGGAATTTCAGCATCGTCTGAAACAGATTTTAGTGTCGCGATCCGTGCAAGAGGCAAAAACGTTCTCTCTGGAGAGCCGCCTTTTCGAATTTGTGGTTTCACGCTCGATCTCTCGGTGATGATGAAGCTTGTCAAGCGATGATTTCGCAGCGCGCATCTGTGCAACATTGCGTGCGTGATTAAGCATGAGATTTAACACTCGCAGTCTCGCCAACAACATTATTATAATGGACATAGTTGCAGATTCATTGCATTGTAGTTTGCGTCACTTCATAACTTCATATTTTTCTAATTTCAAAAAATATTTTTTAAGTTTAAAATATTCTAAAAAATATATATTTTTACATATTCTTATTACATTATGTAAATTTGCGATCAAATAAATATGAATATTATTTTTAATGCACTCTAAAAAATATTTTTATAAATGATTAAAAAGGACGTATGTATAAACTAGTTTCATATTTTTAGATCGTTGCATTGTGTGTGTGTGTATATATATGTGACAGTCTGATTTATTTTTGAGACTGCGAGGATTAAGAGATTGTAGACCGTGAAACCGGATCTTGTCTTTTTTGTTATTTTAACGATTTTAAAACGGCACTCTAGTACAATTTTGCCTCGCGCAGGTCCTTCTCATTCATTAATTGAACAATCTTTCTAGAAAACGCATGTTTAAAAACATATGACTTACGAAATATTTCAAAAATATTAAAATCTTAGAATATATTGAAAAAATATGCAGTGGAAAAAGTAAGTTAGTTTTGTACGCTGAGAAAAAGTCATTAACTTGTCTGCATCTAGTTGGTTATCTGTTAATTGAAATATTTAAGTAAATCGTATTTAGAATACGTGTTTCATTTTAAATACGACGCGAATTTCATTTAAATATTGCAATCAATATAGATATATTATACTTAAATATTTTAACTGCAATGATAACCAACCAAATACATTTAAATCAAGTTAATCTTTTTTCTACAAAAATATTTTAACGTTTTAATCGGTTTTTATATTTTGCTATAAAAGCTTAAAGTATCTCTTTTATTTCTTATAAAAATTAATTATATATATACATATCTCTTTCTCTATTATCATTGTATATTTTTTTTTAATTACGTACGTAAAAAGATAAGATAATGAAGAATTGATTGATAAATCATTTATAATATATAATGATAAAGAACAGTCGTTAATCAATGCGCAAAACTGTTATTTTTTCCGGCAATTGAATTTTCCAGAAAGATTAGGTGAACCGACGAACTCCGGTCGTTGGATTTCCGGCGCAATCACGTTTCGATAGGTCGATAGCTCGTTATCACATCGACTATCGAGCGGCAAACCGACCGGAGTTCCATCTCTGCAAGGGAAGGAAAAAAAAATAAGGAAATTGGAGAGAACTGTGCAAAACGCGTTCGTTCCTTCTCTATCGAGTTTGCGTGCAAACAATCGTCATTACGGCGGAAAACGATGCTTGACGGTCGTGAAAATGTTTTCCTCCGCTTTCGAGTATCGTCCTCGCGACGAGAAAATCCATTTTCTACCGTGGATGTTAATCGATCGTACTTTTCCTTCGAATTCGCAGTATGAACAAACACTTGGAACTATTTATTCGTGCAAAGTAGACAGTAATTATTCTCGAATTATATAACGATTTATTCCTCTGAATTTAATTATTATTTCATAAAAAACTAAACTATTTTTCTATATAATTCAACGTGATGTAATTAAATATAAAGACAGTCAAGATATTGTAATTTATATGTATGTTTCTTTGAGAAGTGCGTGACGATAAATATTTGATAAATTTAGATACGTAACTGCTATAAATATTTTTGTTATCTTTCGATTATCTAAGCACGCTATCGCGAGTAATGAAAACGATAAGGTGACATTTTTATATTAATTATATTCCGTCGCGAGGACAAGGACGGTTCGGCCAATTTATGCTGAAGCACGTACAAGCGTAAGGTGTCGAGACACGATATGAGTGCCAACCGAGGTGACTTAGGCACGCAGCACGAAAAAGAACAGTAATCAAAGAGTTGCCAGCGACAAGTGACAAGCGAGTCATCTGGCGTACCGCTCGATTCGCCGAACTTTTCATATTAAATATGGAATTTTAAATGAGGAAATGTGAGAAATCTAACACGATTAAATTACAAGTCGGATTATTATTCGACGGACCGTTCATTTTTATTCTTGGATGTACGGTATCGCGGCTGTTTTTTTTTTTTTCCAACACTTATAATTGAAGAGAGAGAAATCGTAATCTTTTTCTTATCTAAAAACCTTCTCTAAGAGGATATAAAACTTTTATAGTAACATTATCATAAAAGTACAACTATGAAAAAAATTAAAATTGTAATTTGATGTTATTAAAAAAATATACAGTATCAAATATTGGTATCGTATATCTCTCATTATTATCGATGCTTGATGTAATTAATTTCTCTTTTATTCATAATGATCTCCATAAATTGAAATAAAAATGTATGATATTAAAATTTAATATTACAAATCTATAAAACTGTAGAGTCGGGAGATACCGTACGATTTATCGGCGGAAAAGGATATAAATTCCAATTTACGGCATATAAATATTAATACTTTCGATCGGATAAATTTTCGCGTGAAACACACATACGAACTTGCGCCGAGAAGCGGAACGAGAAGTGATCCCGAGAGCGGAAGCGCCGGTCCGACTTCTTTACAGTTAGACGACCCGTGGAACCGCGACGGGACGACCAGACGACTCATAACAGCATAGCATTCGACGTACGCGACGGCTTGTATACACAACGTGAGGCGTTTGAATTTGACTTTGAAGAAAAGTGCCGAGAAACTAATGAGAATATAGAGAGTTGAAACCGCTGTCGGGATAAAAAGTACCTCGTTCTCGAGGCACGAAGTACGGCGACGGGGGTAGCCTGAAGGTACTTCGGATCTCACCTGCGTCCTTGCCACCCTTCACGCAGATGCCAAAGCCATGGTGAGAGTCCGGCGGATCTCTCGTCATGGTGATTGTCCTTACGGTGAGCTCCTGCAGACTGAGCGGCTGCGCGATCGGCGACGTGGGCGGATTTCCGGCATTCGTTTGCTGCTGCTGTTGCTGCTGCTGCTGCTGCTGCTGCTGCTGCGACTGCTGGGATTGCTGCTGCTGTTGCTGCTGCGAGCCACCGGAAACGGGCGTGCCACGAACGGCCGTCACGCTGGCCGGGCTGGACGCCGGGGACCGACGATCGCCCTGACGTCGTTCCGCGACGCTGTTACCGAACAATCTGCAAGGGTTTTTTTTTATTATCAAGGTGTCTAGCGATCAGGGAAAAGTCAGCAAATTTTACTATTTATCTGGATTTCGTCACATTATTCTACATCCGCCTCGATAATTTGACATTTTTTATTAAATATCTTGAGGATTTCATGATTTAACATTTAATTGATTTATCATATAGATGTATATAAATTATATATTTGGAAAAAAATAATACTAAAAAGTCCGGGAAAAAATTAATTTCTGGTCTTGGAAAATCTAAAAAGGTCAGGGAATTTTTTTCGTTGAGTCTGCTGGACACCCTGATATTCTTTCAATCGATGATTAATTAAAAATGAATTCACGTGTATATTTGGAAAAAATAATACTAAAAAGTCAGGGGAAAAAATTAATTTCTGGTCTTGGAAAATCTGAAAAATTTAGGGAATTGTTTTCATTGAGTCTGCTGGACACCCTGATTATTTCATTTATTTATGCGTATCGTCGATTAAAGGGGAGACCCCAGAGGCACCAAAAAATAGCCCTATATTTTTTTGCAGAAAGTATTAGGATTGCCAAAATAGAGTTTTTACCAGTCTGTTATATATATATATATAATTATATGGTAAAAGTTTTATTAAAAAATTTTGAAAATAATTGTTGCTGGGGTCAGATGCTGTTGCGTTTTACGGTACCCAATGTGCAATCTATATGGTTCATTTGAAACAAAAACTTAATTGATTTTTAAAATATACTGAGTATCATAAAACGCAACAGCATCTGATATCAGTAGCAGTATTTGTCACCTTTGAAAATATTTTTCAATAAAAATTGTACATATAGTAGACTGATAAAAACCCCATTTTGATAATCCTAATACTTTCCGAGTATAGGACTATTTTTGGTGCTCTTAAATCAAATAACTATATAATATTCCGAGAAAAAAATATTGATCAGAGATTAGGAGAGACTGAAAAGAAGGAACACTGAAAATCTCCGCCTGAACATTATATCGTGCCGAGCACACATAAACACCCTTCGGTCGAGAAAATCATGAGCGTAATTGAATTTTCGATACTCGGCGTGACTTTCGGTCACGTAAGCCTATCTATCCTCGGCGTCATACCTGAGCACCTGTTCCGGGGAGATGGCACCGGTGCCTCCGCCGCCGCCGCCGCCGGTTCCGTGACCCCGGTGGGATCTGTAGGGGGTCGCGTGCGACGAGTGATGATGGGGCGCGCTGGGCGGCCTCTCGACGATGGTGTAGCTGGTGCCGGGCGGGCTGTAGTAGCCGCGATGCTGACCGCTATGATGACGGCCGGCGGTGCTCGAGGACTCGAGGTCCTCGGCCTCGTAGCAGCCGCCGGTCCCGCTTCGCAGGTAGTGATGAGAACCGCCGCCGCCGCCGCGCAGGAAGTGCGTGGCATCGCTTCCGGTTGTGGTACCGCCGCCTCTCCACTGCAACTCCTGCAGCTCGGAACCGTAGTCTTCCGTGCTGCTAGCCATGCCTTCTCGGCTGGCGATCGGTCCTCCTTCGGTCACACCTGTCGCCCACGACACGTGATTCCGATTCATTAATTCATCGGATGCTGAGAATGCGAGGAGAAGCATTTAGGGGGAAAACTTAAAAGGGCTCTCTGTCTCTCATATATGGAAATTAATGACGTTAAGGCTTCGAGTGGTACAACACATAATTAAAGATTTTTTTAGTCGAATAGTTTGTGAATTTATATAAAATATTCGCTAGATTTGATATTTCGATTTATGTATTTCAATGAATTCGAAAAAGCTTATTTAATTTAATTTCATGTATTTGCTCAGAGTAGAAGATAATTGTATATGGAAATAATTTTTTAGACATCGTGGATGCTGAGAATGCGAGGCGAAGCATTTAGAGGGAAAACTTAAAGGGGCTCTCTGTCTCTCATATATGGAAATTAATGACGTTAAGGCTTCGAGTACCAACATGATTAAAGACTTTTTCAATTGAATATTTAGTAAACTTGTAAAATATTCGGTAGATTTGATATTTCGACTTATTTAAATGAATTCGAAAAAATTTATTTAATTTAATGTATTTTCTCAGAGAGAAAATAATTTTACATAGAAATAATTTTTTGTCAACGACGACACGCGATTTCGATTCATTAATTCATCGGATGCGGAGAATGCAAGCGGGGGTGCATTTAAGAGAAAAAATTTTAAGGATTCATGTGGAAATTAATTACGCATTAAGGCTTCGAGATGTGTGAACACATAATTAAATTAAAGAGATTTTTTTCAATCGAATAGTTTATACTCTTGTAAAATATTTAGATTTGGTATATTTCGATTTAATTAAATTAATTTAAAAAAACCTTATTTGATTTAATTTAATTTAATGTATTTGCTCAGAGTAGAAAATAATTTTTTAGTCTCGTTCTTATATTTTAATAATGTGTGAGCTTGATATCGACACCAAGATAAAAAATTGTAGAAAAAATAAAATTATTGAATAGAAAATTCTTTCCAACCGAGTCGTTTTGTTCCAAAGTAGAACAGCTTTGTTCAAAAATACTTGATGATTCTTTAAACTCCTAGACAAGATATTTTACGCACGCTTTTACATTAATATTTTATAAGATTAAGCATGGCAATTCCTGACTCGAACGCTCGAAGCAGCTTAAACGTTAAAAGCCACGGCCTGAATTTCAGGGATACCAGTCGAGATCGATCGAGATTCTCGTAAATAAGTCAAGAGACACTGCGGTCTCTCGGGAGACATTTTCGTGTTAGCAAAGAAACTGCCTCGACATTCAAATGCCACATTAGCGATTGAAAATTTTATTACGAAGCTCTCTTTTTCGCGGAAGTCGCTTCTCGTCGCGCGAGTTTCTCGCAGAATTGATATGCCAGGAACGATCTTGTCTGCAAAAGTAGAGAATTTTCCCGCATAAGAAAAAGTCAATATGCCGAAAAGTCACTCGCACGCTTTTCCAGCGCAATTTATTTAAAAATTGCTAGTTCGGCTTCCACAGAAATTTACTTTCATACAGAAATTGCCGTTCGCAATTTTTCCATAAAACTGCGAAATTTTCTTCTACATACATTTAAATATTCTAAAGCAATAATTGCATTTTTATACACTAATTCCTCATTATAGTTTCAATAATTAGCCATAATGATGATGACTTAATCGGGCGAAATTAATAATAACTCTAAATTAATAGAGCGCGAATTAAACTCTATATTGCTACATTAATCATCAATCTAAAAATTATTATAGAAAATATGGATAAACGTCTCTATGAAACGGGCATAAAATTTGAAGCGCCGAAATGCACAAGAATACACAGGAAGATTTATAATTAAAAAGGTCTAGTCTAGGAGAGACATTGATTGATCGAGACTCTTTTTTTCGGACAGATTGAGGACAATTACTTGAATGTTTTCCAGACGATTGCGTCGTGTGTTCACGACACACTGGACAGTATATACGAATATTCGCGATTTATTTTTACACCGCAATCGATCGTGTTTTTTCCACTATTATCATCGGGCTGTCGTGACGCGAACCGATTATGTTATCGATTCTCACTAGAGACGGGAATAACGAGACAATTAAATCCATCGCAGGGTGAAGGGGAGAAACTTCCTTGTCGTGACCGTCTAGCGTTTCTAGATAGCATCTTTAACGTGAGACCTGCGGTCCCGGTAATGGCATCATTTTCTAGGACAAACCCGCCGTAACGTTCTTAATGGCTTCAGGAAGTCTTCCTTTATCGCCGGAAGACGGTCCAAAGTTGGCCCCAAAGATTATCTTTGATAACAGACAAGCTGAATGCTTCATTCGATATCATCCGTTTTTCCTTCAAAAATTTGTCCAACAATTTTACGAGAGTCCTTCGACACTTGGAATCGATAAATTAATGTTAAAATAATTCATATAATTATTATTATATATCAAAAATTTGTCGACCAATTTTACGAGTCTTTTGACACTTGGAATAAATAAATTAATCGGAAAGAAATATTTTCATCGGCTCTCAATAGTAAGAATATAAATATGATGTTTTTTAAATCGGCCAACAGAGCCAAAGCACGAAAAATTATATATTTTTCGCGCCTATTTCTCCATATGTAAGTTTCGAGATTAATTTATATATGGAACTTGGTGATCTCAAACCAAGAGATACAGTTCCGAATAATTAATTTTTCGTGCTTTGGCTCTGTTGGCCGATTTAAAAAACATCAAATAAATTAATGTTAAAATAATTTATATAATTATTCGTCACTAGATGTCGAGAAAAATTATCCCAAATAATAAGATACATTTTTTTTTAAGGATTAGATAAAATTTTCGTGTTCAAGTTTATTTCTGAATGCTAAGCAAAATTAGATTAATTAGAAGAAATAGAATTTATTAATTGCTAGTTACATGTATTATATGTATTTCTAAACATGCAACTCTGCACAACTTTTTGTCTTATTTTTATTTTGATAAACCGCGATAGCAGCATTTATCAATTCAATAAAATACGTGCAATTAAAATAGTTATCTTATTGTAATTTTATAATAGCTTTCATACATTTTTGAGCAATCGGTATTACAGTTAGAAAAAAAAATAAACCAAGAAAGCTTGTCGGAATGAAATTCCTGTCGTTCAATTCCTTTCTCCACTGCCATTTGTAGAAACGAGACTTCGAGATTGAGTCATTTCCCAAAAAAAGAAAAAAGAAGGTCGCAGACAACTTGGACAGGCCGAATACGTGTCGCACAATGTATTCCCTAATTCTTCACAATCGTTTCACGAGGCGGCTCGATCCAACCTTGACACTGAGAAAGGCTCCGTTCGCGGCTCCGTGACGGGGGAGGAATGGGGTTGGACGGGGTTGGAAGTCGCCCCCGGCGGACGTTCCTGGGTGGGTGACTTTGGGGGATGTGTGTGATGGTTGTGTCGTGTGTCCCGTCATGTACGAGGGTGGACCGATCAATACTGCGGCTGAACACCTAAAGCCGACTTCATTCAGTCGACATTACACCCTGCATTCACCCCCTCATTCCACATCACCTGGCCGACGTGACCGCTATAACTTTGCTACTATACTCGGTTATAGTATGCAGGTATACGTGTGTTTCACGTAACGGCCGCGATTAGAGAGGATCGCGTTAAAGCGGAGTAGTTGGAATAAGCGAGCGTGCATTAGCCGAGTGTCTGTTCAGTCATTCTGGAAATCCTTCAAGTCCTTCAAATGGAGTTTTGTTTGTGAAAAATCCTGCGCTGAAAACAAATTTATTGAATTCGAACAAGTATTTATTTCAATACTGCCGAATGAATCATTGATTTGAAACTAATAATTGATTTGATGTGAGAAATATTTATTTGTGATATAAGAGCAGTTGAGACTATTCGAGGAAAAAATATTTTATCTTACTTTAAGAGTCCAAAAATATCGCGTTCAAGTATAATATAAGAGAATATTGTATCTAATATTGGTAATGCGTATATTAATTTTCATTAACATGTAATTATGGACTTGATAAAGAAAATTAAGTTTTTAGTTTCTTGTACATTTTTTATTATACTGTTGAAAAATCGTGCAAGTTTCCTTGAAATATCCTGGAATTGTCCTTAAATTCTATTTTCAAATTTTACTAGACACCCTGATTAACTCGATTACGCCAAAATAGACGCGGTTTCTTCGTTTCCGAGGTAGAAAATTCTCTGCGCTATACGTCTGTATGAAAAATTTTGTGCAGTAAAGATGATAGTGCGGTGCAAGAAGCAGCTTCAACATAAATCAATGAAATAATTTAGAAAAGATAGAAATATTACGCTCCTTTTTTCCCTACATGAAATAAGAACGAAAATTTAAATAAGAAATTCAAATGAAGATAAATACAAAGAAATGAAGTTACACGTGAGATGTAAAATAAAAATTAATGTATACCTACCTTTTGCATATTATAATTTATCAAAGTAAAAAGAAAATGCATAGCGCGGCGCAAAAAGCAGCTTCAACATAAATCAATGAAATAATTTAGAAAAGATTGAAATATTACACTCTTTTTTCCCCTACATAAAATAAGAACGAAAATTTAAATAAGAAATCCAAATTAAGGTAAATACATATAAAGTAGGTACAAAGAAATAAAGTTACATATGAGATTTGAAATAAAAAACAAATGTAAATACATCTTGCATATTATAATTGATCCAAGTAAAAGGAGAATGCATACTTTGCTGAAACGAGTATAAAATAAATTCAGAAGCGCATATCTGTAAAAAAGTACGTGTGAAAAGTTCCCGAAGTAAATTAAACTTTCCAAACTAAAAACGTGTGTTTCCGCGTTAAGATCCGCGATTAAACTTGGAACGGGGTGGTTTCGCCATATATAACGTACCATACATATAACTCACGTTACGTGAGATGTGTTTAGAATTCGGATGAATTTATCGAGATATACTGTCGCCTCGGGATGGATCATTTTCGGCCAGCCAATGATAACTAAAGTGTCCCGATAAAGGTAAAAGGTGACACATGTCGCGCGTCATTTGATTTC